TTGTTTTAATTAATTATAATTTGTTCTGCGAAAAAATGATGATAAAACAGTTTCTGTTGAACTTTTGACACAAAAACATTTCAAATTTATGATTTCAGTCTAATAACTATTTAGTTGACATGTGTAATTTATGTCAATGATAATGGGTATTGATATTTGGATTCCAAATATCTCAAGAACTATTATTCGTAGCGATTTTTACCAAGAGACCTTTTTTACGTAAAAAATGCCGTAAATGTATATTTTTTTACTTAATAGTTTTATACAGGTACGGACGAAAAGTTATTTCTCTTCAAACCAGTTCAAAAAATATGTAGGTGGCGCTCCCTACAGTAGGAGTCATATTGACATAAAAATCAAATTTTTCATGTCAAAAAATCCCCAGACACCAATTTTCATCCAAATATTGACGTTACTTCAGAAATAATTTGGAAAAAATAGAAATAAAATTGAAACTCCTACACCCTGCATCTCCGAAACTAAGCATTTTAGGACATATTTACATTTATACGAACTTTTTTACTTATTTTTATCTGCAGAATATGTCACTGAAGTTTCCGGAATACAGTTCGGACCACCCTGTATAATATGTAAATAAAGGAATAATTCTCTAGTTATTTTTGTTTTATTTTCCTTCACTAGGTATTTTCTCCCTATTCTTACTTGGCTAAGTTGTAAATTAAATGCCGTCCGATATACCATCAGCTTCTGTTGATTTTGGCGTGGCGGGAAAACTAGAATGTGTGCAAATAATGCTGAATTACCTACACGTGACAGCAATGAAAATTATGAATACGACCCTTATTGTAACGGAACTTGCGAATCTACATCGCATTTTCTCAGAATAAAAAACATTAACTTCTGTTTGAAAAGGAATTTTCCTGGATAATTTTACACTTAAGAGTCTTAGTCTAAGGCCTCAAGGGCTTATGCTTAAAGAAATTTTTAAAAAAAGCAATTTTCCTCACAAAATAAAATCACTAGTAACATATCTATTCGTCCACCAGCAGATACTGCTTTATTTTTCTTGATAAAATAATGAACACTTATTTATTAAACTATTGTAGGTAAATTTAAGTAAACTGTTATAAATGATAAATAATAATGTCCATAAACTAATGTCGACTTTGGAAATAGTTACAAAATGTCACTGTAAAATTACCATAGCGATACCAGCCATCTTGATTGCAATTTTATTTAAAAATCGCTTTTATGCAAAATCTCAGCTAGATAGGTATAGGAAACCCTATATAGTTTGAAAGAGCATTTGAATCTGCTTCGATTTATTTAAGAAAATACAGGGTGTTTTTTGAAATAACGAAGTTTTTATATAACATATATCCTTAAAACAGATCAGCAACTTTTGATAGCTCTGTATAAATTTATGGAAGCAATACCATTTTTAAGTAAAGTTTATTTTCCTACCTTTAAACTCAGCATAAGAATTAATTCTGAATAGTAATGTACAGGGTGTTAATAATCTATTCTATTGTAGCATGCAAATTTAAATATCTTTAAATGTCTCTAAAACCAAAAATTTTAAACATATTTTACCATTATAATAAATGCCTTTTTTTGGGCCCAGGAATCCAAAAATGAAATAAAATACCGAGTGTTCCATAAGAAAAAATATAACTTTGGTATGGATCTTAGTTCTGAAACACCCTGTATATTTCAAGATAATTTTAAATTGTGCACATTGTCTCCCCACATATACCCATAGAATATTTTCTTTCCAGATCTTTCCGTTTTCGTATAATCAACCGAGGCGAATGAGGTGCGCCACCCTGTATAAACAGTTATTATTTACATCAACAAAGCTCACCTTCTTAACAGCACTTAAGGGACATAAAGGGCCATCACTACCGCTTTCCCGTTTAAAATGTTATAATAAGCATAATTAATAATTAGTAATAATTTTTTGCAACGGCTATTAAGCTATCTTGTATACTTCGCACTAAAACAGGTTCTAAAAAGAGCAATGTTCGACTGCAAGGTCTGTTACTAAATACACTTCCCCAATAAAATTAACGCACCACAAAAAAATAACCAAAAGTTTAAGTTAAGTTTTTGTCAAAACCACTTATTCGATTTGGACGATTTTTTTTTTGAATGTTAGGTTACTCTTTCCAAAATGTTGCTATACTACTGTATTTTGATAGGAACCCTTTTTATACTAATAACGGGTGTAGCATATATAACGTGATTTTTTAATAAACTTGTGTGACTCTGTAGAGTTGATCAGTTATACCGTATGATCGAATAAAAACGGCGTCAACGATGGCTATGAAATGAAGATCGCTGTCATTTTATATGTAAAATTATATGGGAAATGTCATCGATCGTCATTTCCAAGCCAACTGGACGCCGTTTTTTTTCGATCATACGGTAGTATCAAGTTAAAATTGAAATCACATTTTAGCCTTATCTTTTTTTTACATTTTATTTTTTTATTTACTCCATTATCTTCCTTATTATACGAGAAACAACATTTTATAGATGATGATGACATGATTTAATAATGGTTTTAATTAACATTTTTCCATTTTACCACAGATTTTACTCACTAAAGTAAGTAGCAGGCTATGGAAAAACACGGATTACCAGTAAATGTCAAATAGAGATGCTTGTTGTCAGTGTCAGTCTTTTCGTCCTTTTTTATATCAAAAATATGCAACGTGCACGTGAAACAAGAAATCTTACTCGCGATGAATGTGCTCAAGCATTAATATTGTCTGAGGAAGGTTGGAACTAACGAAAAATTGGTAATTGGTAATCCCGATTTTGTCTGTACAACAATGACAGGCGTGTGCGTGTATATCGACCTAACGACAGGTATGCTCAGCGTAATTTCTCACATACCACATTATTTGGAGGAGGATCTCTGATGGTCTGGTGTGGTATTTCTTTAACTGGTCGCACGAAACTTGTCATCGTTAATGGAACTCTTACAGCTGAAAGGTATATATTGGAGGTGTTAGACCCACATGTTGTGCCGTACGCGTCATATATAGAGCAAGGTTTTTTGTTGATGCAAAATAATGCCAAGCTTTACATTGCTCGATTTGTAAGAAACTACCTAGAGGAAGTCGAAATCGATACCATGGCATGGCCAGCTCGAAGCTCAGACTTAAATCCTATAGAGAATCTTTGGGACACTCTTGGGAGAAGATTACAGGAGGAACGCTGAATACTTTCGAAGACGTACGGCAAAGTCTTATTCGCATATGGGAAGAACTGGACCAAAATAACATAAGATCTCTAATTTTAAGTATGGGCCGCCGTTGTCAAGCAGAGGCGGAAATACTTGCTACTGACACTTCAGTTTAAATAGTTTCATTGAATTCCGTTTCGTTGTTTTTTGTTAATAATTTGCAATGAAATTATGTTATCCTATTAAATTATGTTTCTCATGTAATAAGAAAGATAATGGAGTAAATAAAAAAAACAAAATGTAAAAAAAAGATAAGGCTAATGTCATTTCAATTTTAACTTGATATTGTAACTGAATATTATTTAAAAAACATGTTATAATTGCTATACCCGGTATTAGTAAAAAAACAGTTTTTATCAAAATACAGTTAGTATAGCAACATTGTGGAAAGAATAACCTTTCATTCAAAAAAAAAATCGTCCAAATCGGATAAGTCGTTTTGACAAAAACTTAACCTAAACTTTTGGTTATTTTTTTGTGGTGCGTTAATTTATTGGGGAAGTGTATTTTCAACCTTAAAGTATCACAACACAATTCATTTAAACCAAAAACTCGTAATACAAAACTAAAGTGTCAAAACGAATGACAATGTGAGGAAATAAATAAATAAATGTGGCAACTTGACGTTTTTTACAGCAAATCTACCACCTGAATCCCAGCGGGAAATTTAAATTCCAGTTAATCAGCCTAGAGCCGAATATGCCCATGGCTGGCAACAATGAATTTAAACATAAAATTTCTTAAACACCCTGTAGAATAACAGAGATACGAAGGGGGTCGAAAAATGCAAAATTTTCAAATTCGCACTGTATTTCAGGATCGATTCATAATTAAGGTTTCATAAAAAAAAGTTGCACAGTGGGATAAACCGTATCTTTGTATCTCTTCATAAACGAGGAGCTCCATAAAATACACGAAAGTGGAACACCTTGTACATTAATCTACAACTAGCCCGTTATAAAACGCTTATTGTTGAACAAATCAATAAAATGAGTTCAAATGCTAAAGCGAAAAAATGGCACGTTTTTTACCTTTGAAGCTCTAGAACTGGAAGGTAACTGTGAATATCAACGTTTAAAAGAAAGTTTTCAAAAATCACTTAGGTGTAGTTTTATTATGCACGATCCAACTTACTAAAGCGTCCACTTAATGTTCACGAATAAATTGTATTGTTTAGAACAAAGATGACAATACTAGATTGAATCTTATAACAATACAAATTATTTTGAAAAAAATATTGTATTTTGCTAGATTTTCATAAGTATATAATCGATACCAATTAAATTTTTAGTTACGTAATCGAGAGCGAGATTTTTAAATGCATTGTTGCCAACCACGGGCATATTCGACACTTTAGTTTTATATTACGAATTTTGGTATAAATTAATTGTGTTGTGATACTTTAAGCTTAAACATGTTTACTAGCAGACTTGACAGTCGAAAATTATTGTTCTTTTTAAAACCTCTTTTAGTGCAAAGTGTACAAGTTAGCTTAATAGCCGTTGCAAAAAACTAATGCCAACCTTAATAGAATATTTTGAATGGTAAAGCAGAGTAATGGCCCTTTATGGCACTTAAGTGCTGTTAAGGAGGTGAGTTTTGTTGATGTAGATAATAATTATTGTTTACATATTTATAATTAATTTATTTTTGTTTCCTAAAATAGTTTGATTAAAAGAAAATATATAAAAGTGGGCAACGCTGTGCCGGTCAAGCTTACTAGATTACCGGACTAAAAGTTTACTAGATTCTCTTAAGAATATGTGGCAATTATAAAGTCACCTACCTTTGTTTTTCCTGACCCTGTTGGACCTACCAACATCAGACCATGTCGTACAATTGTTGTTTCGTATAGTTGTATTACTTTTTTCACGAACTCTGAAAAATGCATTAAAAAAAAGAATATAATATAAAGAAATTATTTCAGAACGTCATTAAGCAGTATTAAACCTGTGTTCATAATATACCGTATGATCGAAAAAAAAACGGCTTGGAAATGAACATCAATGATATTCTCCATATAATTTTACATACAAAATGACAGCGATCGTCAGTTCAGAGCCATCGCTGACGCCGTTTTTTTTCGATTATACGGTAGTTCTTCCAAACAATTGAATATCGAACTAAATGTAATTATAGCTTACCGTTTACATCTTCCAATTTATTAGCTATACAAGAATCTCTAATGGCCAACTCCAAAGCTCCATAATCAACAGCTTGCTCCACCATTCTCGGGAATAAGTCAGAAACAATACCTATATGTATACATATAGAATAAAAAATAAATTATAAAACAATAAAAAAACAGTATGTGCACTAAGTGCGCATATATGGTAATCGCAAAACAATTTCCGATGCACGTGATCAACTTTGAGTGACAAGCGATGGCTGCCAGATTGTGATGGATTTATGAGATGAATCTTAATTTAAAATTGACAAACAATATATTTATTATATCATTTTTTAAAGAGTTTTACGTTTTATTTTTAATTTAATAACTAATATTTTAGTAATTAATTGATATATTTGTTTTATAGCTTATTTTACTTATTACATATTGGCAAAAACTAGTCCATTATGAAGATTATTATAAACGTTATTATATGGGTAATTTATTTATTGATGTACATTTTACAACGCCATAAGTGGTACTAACAAGTAAGAGGGTGCTATTAATGCACAAACTAATAATCACAGAATTTAATAAAAACTAACTTTGATGATAATGTGCTTATTATTCTTATCAATCAGCAGTCAAGAGTAATTTGGGAATTTGGATTTTTAATATGCACCTTTATTGTCACGTTCTCGTTCAAAATAGTTAAAAAAAACAGGGAAGCTACAAGCTTTTTGCTTCGACTGTTTAAATGCTTCGGCATATTTTCTACACACACAATCTCAAGAAATGTAACACAAAAACTCGAAATTTTAGTTCTTAAAGGAACTGTTTGTGCTTAAAAGTGCAATTTTTTAAAAAAGACTACGAAAATAGACAAAAAAAACGAGAATTGCCCAAAAAAAATCAACAACAACACGATATTATACAAAATAATGACTGACATTAGGATAATTAATTGTCAAATAATAAAGGACAACATTGCTGAACACGGCGCAATGTGACCAACGTAGCGATAATAAAATTCGGTTTAAACTAATTTTTGCAGCTTTAATCTAAATAAAATATCTGTTACAATCATTTGCTTTATAAAGTAAAATGAAGAGCTGCTCTGTATCTTGAATTATACAACAAATTTAAACATTTCTGTCAAAATTTCATTTAATCAGGTTTATAGACTTTAATGTCAATGTCGATATGATTGATGACGTGCATCGGAAAATGTTTTGCAATTACAATATGAAGTGAAACTTCTTACTAACAGCTATTAAATTGAAGGATTTGAAGAACATGTTTGAAAAAGTGACATATAATCCTGTTTTAATATACTTAAATATTATTTTCAATTTATTTCTGTAATCTGTACAGTTTGTGTTTCCTCAATAGCCTGCAAATTTTGTGGAATACCACCCAAAATACACACTTTTATGCAAATGCCTAATAATGTTAACGCTTAAATTTATTTCGGAAGAGAAAAAATGTTGAACCTAACCTACAATTCTTATTTTTAGTGATTTACAGTAAATTTGTTAAATTATGCGAATATTCCCGTTGATTATTGGTTTGAAATAAATATCACAGTGTCCTCCAATGAAAATGCCAGTTACTAGCTCCAATAATTCTAATTCTAAGTTGGCAACTACTAAGCTAGATGCTGTACCTAGGCCGTTATTCAAAAGCTACGAACCTGTCGATGAAAATATGCATAAAAATTTACTTCCTAGCACACAACTAGAAGATATTGGTACACAGAGGTACATTATTGTTACGTTTTTCGTCGGTTCCGTGTGGATAAAAAGTCACAATTTATTTAAACACTATTTATTTATCACTAATTAACAAAAACAATATCGATAAAAAACTTAAAGAACTATTTACAAACGATTTATAACTATTTATCTAGAAAGAATTTATTTTGAATTTTAACGCGTCAACTGTACTCGTCTATTTATGTCTGCCCCCTTTAGGCCCCAGCCGCCGGCTTTTATACCCACAGCTAAAGATTTCTCGAATAGTCCACAGATCGTCAGGTGCATAGAGAAGGTTTCGATTGTTCTCGTATGTACTACTCCATTCCAGTGGAATTCGATTCTTCTCGAAAGTTCGAATGAATCATTACGCTGTCTATTCTTTAATGCGATGTTAAGGTCATCTGAGGGCGGGACATATAGGTAGGTTAGGTCGAGTCCACACGGGTCCGCAACACTGCCCCCTTCTTAGGTACATGCTCGTCCCGAGATGTACACGGTGAATGAAGGTATTTGCAAAGCTGGCCCCTGACTCGCTGATGAATGTCGTCCATCCTTTGACGTAGTGTGTGGACATAATCTTCTCCGGCGACTACTTCTCCCGGTCGGCAACCAAATTTCAGATCACAGGGTAGGCGCACTTCCCGTCCCATAACGATGCTGGCTGGAGTTTGCCTTGTAGATTCTTGGACGGATGAACGGTAGGCCAACAGGAACAGGTGAAGGAATTTGTCCCAGTCTCTTTGGTGGTCAGAGACTACTTTGGCCAGATAACGGTTGATAGTTCTATTCACGCGTTCAACCATCCTATCGGATTGTGGATGTAGAGCAGTCGTCCTGGTCTTGCGGATGTTAAGGACTTCACAGACGCCTTTGAACAGATTGGAATCAACGTTTCTTCCCTGATCTGAATGAAGATCCATGGGAACACCAAACCTGCAGATCCATTCTTTAACAAGGGCATCAGCAATGGTGGACGCTTCTTGATTTGGCAACGCGTAGGGCTCGGCCCATTTGCTAAAGTAATCCATCACTACCACAATGTATTTGTTGCCATCGTTCGTCTCCGGGAAAGGACCAGCCACGTCGATCGCTATTCGTCCGAAGGGACTGCCTAAATTGTACTGGAGCAGTCGTCCTGGTCTTGCGGATGTTAAGGACTTCACAGACGCCTTGGAACAGATTGGACTCAACGTAGCTGATGACATGACGATCTGCCTTCTCTCTTCTTGTCCCTCGGGTCTCTCGATCACACGGCGAAGTAGTCCGTTATCTATTACCAAGGAATTCCACTGGGCCCAGTACGACTTCACGTTCGGCGAATATCTGCAAACTTCTTCCCACGTTGGTCTTTGGCCTGCGTTTTTCTAGTTAATTACTAAACCTAATTCTGGGTCACTGGTTTGGTCATTTGCAAGATCTTCGGGTTGCCAACTATCATTAACTACAGTTGTTCTTAGGAGTTTCGCTTCCTTCTCTTCTGCTCGGGAACAATGCTTACAGTCCTTAGCGCAAGGTCTTCTGGAAAGTGCGTCGGCATTTCGATGGATTGCCCCAGCTCGATGTTCTGTGTCGAAGTCAAATTCTTGTAATCGTTCAATCCATCTAGCTAGCTGCCCTTCAGGATTCTTAAACTGCACCAGCCATTTCAAAGCAGCATGGTCTGTTCTTAACAAGAACTTTCTTCCATAGAGATACTTGTAGAAGTATTCCACTGCTTTAACTACTGCTAGTAATTCTCGTCTGGTTACACAGTAGTTCCTTCCCGGTTTTGACAAGGTCTTACTAAAATAACCAATGACTTTTTCTTGGCCATCCTGGATCTGAGACAGAACAACGCCTAACCCAACATTGCTAGCGTCGGTATCCAATATAAAGTTTCCGTTGCCAAGAGGATAGCTAAGTATTGGCGAGTCCCAAAAGAAACGCCTCTCGCCTTCGGTAAGTCTAATTAATGGTTTTGCGATGGTGGCGAAACCCTGTACATAGCGGCGATAGTATGTGCATAGTCCCAAAAAGCTTCATAGTTCATGTTTATCGTTGGGTATCGGCCATTCTTCCACTGTCTTGGTCTTCTGAGGATCTACCGCAACTCCCTGGGAAGAGACTACATGGCCCAAGTAGTGTATCTTTTCTTGACACAGATGATATTTCTTAGGGCTAAATTTCAAGCCAGAGCTCGCGAGTCGCTTGAAAACTTCTTCCAAATTCTTCAACCACTATGATGTCATCCAGGTACACTAAACAGGTAGTCCAGGATAGTCCCTTTAACACAGATTCCATTAGTCTTTCAAAGGTAGCTGGCGCGTTGCACAATCCAAAAGGCATGACGGTAAATTGCCACAGTTCGGAGCCCACCGAGAACGCTGTCTTCTCTCTATCTTTCGGCGCCATGTCGACTTGCCAATATCCACTCTTCAGATCTAAGGTACAGAATATTGTCGATCCCGCCAGCGTGTCTAGAGTATCGTCTATCCTCGGCAGGGGATAGCTATCCTTCTTGGTAACATTATTGAGCTGCCGATAATCAACACAGAACCTGGTGGTACCGTCTTTCTTCTTTACTAGTACTACCGGCGATGTCCACGGGCTGTTAGATGGTTCTATGACAGTTTCTTCTTTCATTTCTCGAATGATTTTGTCAGCTTCTTCACGTTTGGCGAGCGGAAGTCTTCTCAGATTTTATTTGATTGGTCGTGCATCTCCGGTATCAATTTTATGTTGTACTAAATTGGTACGACCTCTCTGTCCTGCTTCTCCTTTATCAAACACATTTTTATACTTGATTATCAGGTTTCTTAATTTTCTACTATTTTCGGGAGATAATCCCTTAACGTTTACTAACTCCTTCACCATTTTGTCCGGTATTTTTGAAGTCGAAACATTGGAGGCTTCCACGCTTCGAATGACTGAGGAGACCGAACAACAGTACCCTAACAGGGTTCCCTTCTTCAAGGATACAGAATAATAATTCGTGTTCATTACTCTCACCGGTAAGGTCTTCTTCGCTCGTAGCAGGGCTTTTCCAACAGCGACCCCTCGTCCTATTTCGCTGTCATGGTTCCTTGCCTCCAACAGAATAATAGTCCCATTATTCATTTTACCTTCCAGGCAACCATCCAAAAATATCTCACAGCGCTCAGGGATCGAAACATCTTTTGCTACCACCACGCAAAGCGTCTCCTCACATTTTCGATGTAGAACCACTTCTTCTTCATTTATTTTCAAAATTCCTTGTTTGAGGTTTAGCTCAAAACTAGTGGTCATGATGTCCATTCCGATTTCATTCCATCTTCGATGTCTGCTACTAATACTCGATGATTAAAACAGGTGCTTCCGATAAGAAAATTAAGATCTACCTCTCCATGGATGAGAACGGAGCTTTCTGTAGCTGTACGTAGTCGCCATTGTGTTGTTTTAATCCTTTTTGATGTTTTAAGGATATCCGGCCTGATGATCGTTTTAGTCGCACCCGTATGCGTAATTCCGGATCCTAGTACTATACAGAGCGCAGCGTGACGATTAATGCTCTGTAATGAACTCTTGTTTGTAGAGCGCAAATAGCAAAATATTTACTCCAAATCCACAACCAATACAGACAACTACTGGAAAAATATTAGTCTCAGATGCTCTGTGTTTTGTAAAACTTAAAGAGGTTTTCTGTTACTATGCACACAAGTGCAATTCAAAATAGCACACATGCCGCGCCGTTTATATTAGTTTTTTTAGTAATTTGGCACTTGGTTTATTATCTTCAATATTTTGAGATAAATTATGCACACGTTTTTTTTCTTTGTCTTCTTTTCGCTATTCAACTTATTTTCGGAGTTAGTTCTGGAGGAGAGACGTCCTGCTTGAATCCGTTTACTACCATTTGGCAAGCTTCTATTTTTTTCTTCTTGAAATTGAAGTCGGTTGAACTTTGCCGTTTTTGTTTTTTTTTGATGTCGCTTTTTCAATAATAAAACTTATTGCCTGTGTAGGTGTTTCGATCTTCTTCAGAACTGAAGCAAAACGCGCTATTGCTGCCGTAGACGAAAGGTCGGGATTTTCTTTTATAATACTAATTATTCTTAAAAATTCTGTTTTTACTGTTTCTATTGCATTTTCGTAACACTTGCTATTTTCATTCATAGGGATTACTTCTACAACATTTTCTACATTTGTTTGAGCTTCAAAATTGTCAATAAGATAAGTTTCTTTTCCTGAAAAGTATTTAATGGTTTTTTTTATTCAACAGTATTTTCTGAGATTATGAAGAATTATCTCCCAACGCTAAAGCGACCAGTTTTATTCTGTCAGTTTTAACAAACGTAATGATGACGAGCACGTAATATGAAACTTTTGCTCTATTATACATAAAGGTTTACAAAAGCGACCACCTCTGCCTGAGTGTAAAAGTTTACATTGCACAAGAACTTCGAATTTATCACTTTCAATTTGTATTTTTGACAGTTTATAATCATCGCACAAAGTATAAAGTAACTTAACTACTCCTTCCCTTATTTTATGTACTACTAATTGCCAGTAAACATTTCTTAGAACAACTAAAAAAATGTAACCTCAAAACATTCATAAACCATGTGAACTTAGCTGTGGTTAATTATTGTACTGGCATTTGGTAAGGCTTACAGCGCATATAGGCCTACAAACACCAGCGCGATACCAAACGCACCTTATCTGTATTGCGCTGGTGTTTGGAATACTATAAACCGCATTATTTAATAACAAACCCCAGTTTATTTCACAGCCATTGCTGCTCTGAAATGAGCAGGGGTTCTGATTTACGCCACCCGTATCCAACAGCATGGTCCGGAACTCTCCATCAACGAAACCATCCACAAAAATGCTGTTGAATTTGTGTTGTAGCGAGGCGACTTGAGCAGTTTTCGTTGGGGCATGTTGGGTACAGATCGACGTGTGCCCCTTCATTTCGACCCTTAATAGTTTTCCGACCTCGACGAAGCCGGTTCTTCGTTCTTCTCCTTACAACGGCTTCGCACGTGTCCTACCTGTCCGCAGTTCCAGCAACGAATCGGTCCCTTCTTGCCCATGTACTGGTCCATTACTTTCCGAACAATCCCTTCCACGAATTCGTCGACCACTCTTCCTAAAGACCAAGAACTTTGTTTCGCGGCCTCGAATTCTAGGGCACGTGCTAAAGCATCCACCAAGTGCGTTGGGTGGGCTAGGAGAAGTGCTTGTCTTGTCTCGTTGTCACGTAAGCCGTCGGAGAATGCCTCTACTGCCAACCGCTCCATAACATTCTCGGGCGTAGCAGGGTACGCAAGGCGAACAAGGCGGGCTACGTCGGCTTCAAACTCCTGCAGAGACTCATTTGACTTTTGAATGCGATTTTTAGCTGGAAATGATAGACATGTTCCAAATGAGCTTGGCCGTACCTCATTACTAAATGTTGTACCAATTGCTGATAATCTCCCTGTTCCGATGGTGACAGTGTCTGCAGGATGTCAGTCGCATCTGCTCAAGTCAAAGCGGTAGCTTTTTCAGCGATTATCCATCCGTCCGCTCTCGCAGCGGCCTCAAACTGGCAAAAATAGTTGGCCGAAGCGGTTTTTCCGTCAAACTGTGGAGGCTTAATAACTGACTTTGAGATATACTTATTTTCGACGAGTGTCGGGTCCTCCGATGATTTTTGACATTTTGGTGAATTTGCCTTTGCTATTTGTTCCTTCAAAATTTCGGTTTTGCTATTTACATCGTCCTCAATTTGTGTTATTTTGTCTTGTAGTTCTGTAGAATTATCTATAATCTTTTCTTCTAATTCCCTGGAAGATTCCTGGATTTCTGTTATCTTTTCTTCTAAATTATGTATTTTATTATTAAAGTTGGCCTGTATGTCTTTAGAATTTTCCGCGATCTTATTTTCGAAAGAATTAATTAAATCCTGGAATTTTTTTATAATTTTATCACTGATTTTATCTTCTAAAATATTCAATTTATCATTTAAAGTTTCTTGCAAATCCTGGGAATTTTCCATAATTTTATTATTCAAGCTATTCAAATTGTCGTTTAAATTGTCTTGCAAATTTTTTAATGACGAGTCAAGGTCACCTTCCAGCTCGAAGTAAAATGTGTCAGGATCCTCACCTTCCTCCGCCAAGACATTTCTCAGTCTGGCTTGCAAAATGCTTTTTTTTTCATCTGTCTTGCACTCTCTCTCTTCCAATATGCATTTCAATTCGGACACTTTCAAGTGTTTCAACAATTTTTTCAGAGCCATGGTCAGTCTTTTTATTCTCCTAGTCTATCACACACGCCACACTTGACACCAATTGTTACGTTTTTCGTCGGTTCCGTGTGGATAGAAAGTCACAATTGATTTAAACACTATTTATTTAACACTAATTAACAAAAACAATAACGATAAAAGGCTTAAATAACTATTTACAAACGATTTATAACTATTTATCTAGAAAGAATTTATTTTGAATTTTAGCGCGTCAATTGTACTCGTCCATTTATGCCTGCCCTCTTTAGGCCCCAGCCGCCGGCTTTTATACCCACAGCTAAAGATTTCTCAAATAGTTCATAGATCGTTAGGTGCATAGAGAAGGTTTCGATTGTTCTCGTATGTACTACTCCATTCCAGTGGAACTCGATTCTTCTCGAAACTTCGAATGAATCATTACGGTGTCTATTCTTTAATGCGATGTTAAGGTCATCTGAGGGCGGGACATATAGTTAGGTTAGGTCGAGTCCACACGGGTCCGCAACATTATCAAGTTTATTATAGTGATTTTCTTAGCCGTGTATGGCACAAAGCGAGTTAAATTGTTTTACAAAGGGATAGATCTACCCTGAATGGTTAGCTGTGGCAACACTGCCGTTATCACTTTACCTGACGCTAGCTCGTGTGTCACGGCCTTGAATTTTTACTACTAACGCGCGTAAAGAAGTTTCACTTCAAAAAAGTTTTTAACTTGTAAACCAACAACTGTGATGTGGCCAAATTGAATTTTTAAAGCCGAAAACTGCCGTATATTATATACAGGGTGATTCACAGCCATGTTACGTTAGACGTTTATGGAGAACCGGTGATAAAGGCACCTGCACCATCTGTCTAAATTATTTTCAGTGTTCGTTACAGTGTTGTGGCTTCATGTTGATGAAACTCCAAACTTTTGAAAATCCAAATTTTCAAAAAAAAACTACCAGCGCTTCTCCGTTAAACGACTAACGCGTACCATGACCGTGAATCACTCTGTATAATAAAATTAACTTGCCATTGAATAATTTAAGGTCGTCTTTAAGGAATTTGGGGACATTCACATCCCTTAACGCTCTTAAGCATATCTGACGTTCATCCATATCAGGATTTTCTCTTTTAAGATTTCCAGCCACAGATATAACGGTCTTAACCGCTCTCATTCCAAAATCGTAATGGTCCTAAAAATAAATATTATACCTACAGCGTGTCCAAGAATCCTATCTGCGTTGTGCTGTATTTTAGATACAGTTAAGTATATTGTGGGGTAAAATTTTTTATTGTTAATCTAAGGGTAAAATAACAAAATAACTAAGAAACGACAAATTGTTGTCGAGATTTGTTATAGTACGTTAAATTAACAAAATAATCATACTTGCAAAACATCTGGTATTTACCCCAATTTCAATATACCGCGTGTTCAAAAAAATTGATCATTCGTATGATCAAAAAAAGTCAGCGATGGCTATGAAATGAAGATCGCTGTCATTTTATATTTAAAATTATATAGGGAATGTCATCATCAATTTTAATAACTACCAACGTTTATTCACAAGGTAAAATAAAACCACAAATTATTGAGTCTACCCTACATCATAGTTTTACACTTTTTAAATAAAATTAGAACGGCACTGATAAACCGGAATTTAAGTCGGCCATATTTGAGCCCTGGGTAAAAAAAATTGTAGTGTTTTGAATTGGCTTACTATTGCAATATCTATCATTACGATCTATAATATTATCTAAGTATAAATTTTGATTTGTTCCGGATATAATAAAGGTCAGTTCAAACTATAAAACTATCTAGGTACATTATTAACTATAAACATATTTACAAAAGTTCTTAGGAAGAAAAGTGTGTTTTAATCATTCCGATTCTTCATTTTCTTTATCTTCGTCGTCCTCGCTATTGGTTAAGTCTGGAACTAACTCAGCAGGATATAACTGATCGGAATCAAAAGTTTTATCGAATAACAGATATTCCTTAATTTGACTATAAAACTTAGAACTTTTTGTAGAAGAAGTTCGTCTAAGACTTGATAGTTCCGGATCAGAGCTCATGATATCCATATTTGAGTAATCCTCGACGTTTTGCGGGAATGATATAATCTAATTTGTCGCACTTCCTTGTGCCGAGCTTCCAATAAATCTTCTTCTGACAACTGGCCAACTGGCAATTCGAAAAATTGGATTATATCACATCCATGCACCAAAACTTTATGGGCGGAACTAGGCATATAATACCAAGGATAAAATTGTAAATATAATTGTCTCGTCTCTTTTAATAAAACACCAAAATTAGTGGTGTCTATTTTATAACCGCTAGCTAATACCCTTAAAATTAACGAAAATTTCAAAATTAACTGTTTATCAATTCCTGTTATAGCAGCAGACAGCAGACATTTCGGGATCATTAAAAAATCTAGTTGACCCGTAACCTGGCTTTGGTTTGTCCACCACCAATCCCATTTTACATTTGAAATCCTGTTGGATTCGTCTTTTCATTGTTTCAAAATTTTTTTTATCTTCAGTTCCTCTTACCTGCCACCTCTTAAAAGGTAGCCGATAAGCAATATGTAACAAACATTCGAAAAAACGAATCCAACAGTGTAACGTGGATAGTCCGAAACGATAATTTTGAATGTTAGGGAGTTTATTAAGTGCAACGTCTGTATTCATTTCTCTGGGACTAGCTCCGCAGACTAAACATTTTGAAGTGGAATTAGTGTTGGACAAAATATTTGCAACACTCCCATCGAACATCGTAAATAATAACTCGAATAAAATATTAATGTTCTTTCCTTTGTAACAGGTGTTGTAATCAATTAACTGACTAATTATTTTTTTAAGTTTATCTTGTTCTAAGCGAACTAACTCGGCATTTTCTTTTAAAAATACGAATTTTATTGGTCTGCAAAATAGAGTTGAGGACGTTCTTGGATTTTGCCATATAACTGAATCGCTTGTTAAGTCCACTAATTTTAAGGGTGAAAACGCTATTAAAAACATAAATTCATCTGTGCTATTTATGTCTTGGTTAAATTTCTGTTTATAAAGACTATGCCTCGAGCTACCATCGAAACCCCACTTGCAAATTAACTTTAAGCGAGAATTCAACTGATCAGTTGTCAATATATTTAGAATGCTTGACGCTGTTTTTTCTAGAACTTCCTGAAGATTGATTTCGGCTGATATTTCAGTGACATTAATGTTTGTTGGTAAATATAATTGTTTGGTTTGTACAAGGGCGTGGTAGCTCGGGAAACAGTCTTTATGTATAACGTTTACGACAGATCTTAATATGTTATATTTTTTTACTGACAAATTAAGATCTAAATATAATGCTAGCGCTTGTTTTGCGCTAAGACCTGGTGAAATTGTCTTTTTTGAACATGTTGGTTCTGACCTTTCGACGGCGAAACGCAATTCTGCAGTTGGCTTTGTTAAGAGCTCCTCTACTCTTCGTTTTTTGGTTTTTATTGAGGCTTCTTCAAACGATTTTCGAGGTCTTCCACGGCTTGAACCAGCGTTTTCGGAACTCGTAGTAGCAAAAGATGTTATACTTTGGGTAAAAAAAGAATTTAACCAGACTTCATGTCGCTTCTGAAATACTTTGCGATTTCTGTTAGCTTCTTTCCATATTTTCTCCAAGTTCATGCAAAAAATGAACTTTTTTTACGCAAAAAATGCACTGTTTCATCCGAAATATCTTCATTTTTGAGTAAAGCCTTCAATTTTAGAAAAATATTATTTGTTTTTTTCTGATTTCTTCGACTTGAGCCAATGTTCAAATAACTCGCTATTTTTGACAACAATGTTCACGTCTAAGAAAAAACGAAAATAAAGAAAATTCGCAAATATTCGCAAAAATCAAAAGCAGTGCCATTTAGCTTAATACATCAAAAAACAATTTATAAAATTTCTCCGATATATTTTGACATATATTTTTTATAAGATTCGCCAAATATTAGAGTAAATTATTTCTGCAACGTTTGGTATAGACAATTTTAGAGAATGAATGTATCGAAAACTAAGCAGCAATAAAATATATTTTACCGAATTCTTAAAGTTCTTACCTCTAATTTTGTTGTGTGTCCATTATATGAAATTCTCACAATATTAAGTCGTCTCACGTTCATAACACGCGGGACAGATTTTTAATGCGAATTTACGCTGTCAGCAGAAATTACTGTCAACAATTTGACGGCTGCTAATTTGTTTATCTAAGCCTACTAGGTTTGTAGATGCAAAGCATTATTTTTACATTTGGCTTAAATGACTTTGGTATTTTGATTTTTGTCCATGGGACGCAACACTGTGCGACGATCCGTACTTAAAACGTTAAAATATTAATTATAGAACATATTAATATCAAATTTACATCAATAACTTCAAGATTGGCGATATACCTAAAGTGGACCAGACCCGAGGATGTTTTGTGTGGAGGAAGAAGATACTTGGAATCCATGTTCGTGCTTCTGTAACAGTGCACTCTTTTAAAGTGTCCATAAAAGCACAAGTTCAAGTGTACCAGAAATATGTCAAATATTGTATCACTTAGGGAAACAGTTTGGTCCTTACTTGACAAGAAGATTATTTGGAGGAAAAGAAAACATAAGATAGGGTATTATAATTGAACAGTGAAAATTTAACATTTTTATTGTAAAGTTTGTTGTAGGTAGTTGTAGTTTTGTGCTAAATATTTCTAACATTAGCAGCAGTGTTCAGAGTGTCAAGAGGAGAAGAATTCAGTTAATTAGATTTATGCACAGTTACAGGTATGAAGGCTTTTTCAAACATAGTATCGAGTTCTATAATCAACATTTTTAGTATTCCTACAACTGTAAAAACAAGGAACATTGGACTGAAAAAATGGCAAGATTTATATAGGAAGAAAGGGTATTGTGCCAATCAGAAAATTAAATCTGTAGACAGAAGTTTCTTATTTAAAAACTGTTATGGGGCACATATTAATTTGTATCTGTGCCACAAATCACTGAGAAAAATCATATGATATTCATAATTATTGTTAATGAGATGACATTTAAAGAGTGTTAAAAATGAGACTATCAGTCATGAAGCTTACCCTTTTACTTTAAGAGTGTTTGTTTCAATATTTTACTTTTATTCTTGTAAAATCTATGATGAAGAATAGCAAAGGTATTTGATGCAGAGAAACTTAATCAGTACCTTCCAGTATGTATTTTAGTAAGGGGATTGTCAATCCCATGTTTTTAAATAGATAAAATACAGGCCAAAGTATTACAGTTGAGAAGAAACTATTTTATCTTAAAAAAATTTCTTAAAATTCTGAGTTTCTTAATAATAAATTAGGTATATGTACATATGTTGTACATACAGAATTTTGTTATGGACAAATAAGGATCGGCAAGCTTCTTTTGTGCAAAAAATAAATGATTTTTTCTAGTATTAAGACAAACCATAATGTGTTTTACAAACTTACCAGTAACAGTTTTTTTATAATAAAATATTTAGGAATAATTTGGGTTGTTGCTCAATATATTATATTATTGAACTTGTTTATCAATATATTAATGATTTGAATTTTGACAGATTGAATTTGTATCAAAATAATTTTACGAAATTGATGTTCTGTTACAAGAGTTTTTATTGTCGACGAAAACCAGGATGAATACTAATAATAATATCCTTAATAAGATCAATGATGTTTATGTATTATGAAAATTTGATTTATTGGTGATGGATATTTATTATTTGAAAATATTATGAACATGTTATGTAACAGTAATACCGTATGACCGAATAAAAACGGCGTCAGAGATGGCTAGGAAATGACAATCGATGACTTTTCCCATATAATTTTACATATAAAATGACAGCAATCTTCATTTCATAGCCATCGCTGACGCCGTTTTTATTCGATCATATGGTATTTGAAGGGACGAATCAAAAAATAAAACAAAAACATATTTTTCTAGGTTTATATAAAAATATAAGACACTGAGATCTGGAATATAGCGCCCAACTTGGTTAGACCTTTTGCGCATGTTGACGCTCATTCTGTACCTATCCCTGCTATAGATATCTCTGCGATAGAGGCTTCTGTGAGAATATTGTGAGAAAGAACCTTAAGGTGGAGCCAGTTATTATTCAGTTAGTATAGCTTCAGTTAGTATCGTAAAGCCAGTTATTATA